ACTCGCTGATAAACGCGGTTCAGTGATCGCTGCAAGCGGCAAACAACGAACCGAAAGCTAAATTTAGTATCTCGTGCACACAAGCGGTCTCCTTATCAGGTTTTCGCCGGAGAATGGGAGAAGGGGGGCGAAGGGCTTTAGAAACCTCTGGCCAAATTATCGGTTATCGGTATCCCACGCAAATGACAATCGGGACGAGCTCTATGGCGGAGCTATCAATCATTCCCCGACTCCTGCACCCTGCACACTGTCAAATGACTAGGGCGAATTTTAATGGAAGGCATCGTCCCATCCCCCCCTTCGCGAACAAGGCAAACGTCAAATCCAAACATTATTAAAAAAAGGGAACTAGAAGTTATTGCAAAAGACTCCCATCCAGCAGCCCTCCAATCTCTCCACCCACTTCCATTCCACGACTTATCAAAAACGGCGACGTTATAGAGATTTTTAAACATGTTTGAACTACACACACGCACACACCAAGGCAGACATCGTTCTTGCTTTCGTATTTGAGTAACTCTATTCATCATTTCGTCCTCTGGAGTGGGTGGGAGAAGGACAGGGGGTGTAAGAGTGGGGGAACAGTGAAAAATAAATTTACAGAAGTGAAAACTGCTTACAAAGATTTCTGCTACATCTGCACAGGAGACAGTTTTTCTCTTGCTTTGCCAGCCTCCTTTCAATACTCACACACGCTTACAAGACACCACACCCACACTGACGGAAAGGAGCTAACAGGAAAAGCGGGAAACTGTCTTGCATGTAAGTATACAATTCTAAAAAAAAAGGCGACAAAAAATAAAATTATTAATCCTTAGCTTAAACATTTGCCAACGTTGACTCCGCCATCTTCTTGTTGCTTGACGATGTCTTCGTCTTCGTCTTCGTCTTCGTCCTCGTTTTCTCGCCTACTGCTACCCCGTCTTTCTTTCTTTGTGGGGCACACAACACATAGCGGCACCAGCCTCTAATACAGCAATCCTCTGTTTACTACTATTTCAAATTTCTTCGCCACCCCCTTCCCAGTTCAGTTTTTCTTCCTCTTATTATTGATTGTGTTATTATTATGCCAAGGCAGCGACGTCGGCAGGGACGCTCCTGACTGTGATCGCTTTTGTGATTAAAGCCCGAGAAGAAGGGCGGGACGAAAGGGGGCTCGGAGTCTAAAGGGGACAGCAAAAATTGCAGTTCAAGTGAAGAAGCGCTAGCAACTAAAGCACAGACGATTTCCCCAAAACACCATCAACAACATACATCAGCTTCCATGAGCGTAGATTCTAAAAATGTTTTTCGTTCTTTTATTTTTAAGAAATAGCTTTCTAACTAAAAAAGTTTTTTGAGCACAATTATATAGTTTTACTTCGGAGAGCTGAACAAAAATACAAACCAAAACTTTTCAAAACATTAGATTTTAATATTAGAAAATAATCAATTACTTGGTCTTGGGTCCAACCCCTTTTGTACTCCCATGGAAGCTTCTAATCCACCCAAGAAACATCGCCGAGCAACAACAACAACTACATTGTCAGGCAGTAGCTACAGAGGCGCCGGCAGCGGCTGAGGCAGAATTTCGACTGCGTTGGCTTCGTTTCGTTTTTATTCAAATTCATAATCGCAAAATTTTTGTATTCTACTTATGCTCAAAAGACGCGCGTGTATTGCTCCTTGCCTCCCCCTCCCTTCATGCGCTGTGTGTGTGTGTCGCGCGAGACGACTAAAAAGTGGGTGGGTGGGTTGAGGGGTTGAGACTAGTGCTTGGCTTTGTGCCGGGCCTACAATACAGCCAGTGCCCCCGCTCCTCCCAAGCCGCCCTTGTCTCGAGCCTCCCCCACTGTAATCGGAAACTTTCCTCTTTCTTTACATTTTTCATCTTTTTACTTTTTCCCATTTTTTTCTTGTGCTTTCATTTTGCTTCTGCCAAAAATACAACAACAGCAGAGCGGGACCGGGAGCAGGAGGTTGAGAACGGAATGAATGCATAATAAAAACGAAGCACTCGATGGCGTAGAATTTGAATAGAAGCTTAGTTTTTCGCTTATACAACAAAAACTTTCTTTTTCGGGGTTGTTTTCAATTTTTTTCTACTTTGCGCGACGAGTGACGAGGTGGGCGGTGGGAGGGGTATGGCTGCGTTGTATAGTGGGTTGCGGGTGGAGTGAGCGGTTGCTGCTCGTGGTGGCTGGGCGGTAGGGCGGTTAGGGTGGCAGCTTTGAGGGGAAGACATCGACATCGAAGCTGTGTGCACAACCAGAAAAGGGAAAGGAAAGCATTTTGTAAAAGGGAAACGCTCATACACACACACACACACGCAGCGGTATCGGGGAAAAAGGACGGGACGAGCATAGACGGAAGACGGCAGAAGAAAAACAGAAAAGTTTATAATTACTTATTTTTTGATGAATTGGGTAAATATAAAAAAAAGGAACGCAAAAAAGGAAACCGAACTGAGCTAAGTTCAACTGAACTGAACCGAACCGAACCAAGGAGCGGAGCACACAGAGGGGTAGGGGTAAGACTTGGAGAAAGACAGTCAAAAAGGCGACTGCCTAAAAAAAATACGACTACATTAAAAAATATCGATCGGTTTCCATTTTTGCCCCTGTTGCCGCTCAAGAAAATTTGCTGGCGAGGCGGGAGAGAAGGAGAGGCCTAGAGCGATGTCGCAACCCCATCAACGTCTATTTTGCAGTCTCTAGTCGCGGATTAGGAGCTGCAGCGCCCCCGGGAAATGCAGCTGCCCCAGCGAGACTGAGCACTTTATTGCTTTATCAGCTGCCGATGGGATGTGGGCGTGGCCGGGCGTCGAACTTCATTTGCGCAATTAATTTATTAAATAATTCAATTGCCTGTTTGGAGTGCGGCCCAGTCGCTCCAAGTAAGAAAAAGAATAAGACTTTACCCCAGACAGAGATGGAGTGCAGGCCTGGATCAGACATCCTTATTAACTTTCATTGAATTTAAATTTGTTGCTTACGGCCGCTTACGGCCGCTTCCGACCGCAGAGTCCTTCCGTGTTCTGCTAATATTAGTGTTCGGTAATTCGGACTGATTTAATCGAGCAAAGATGATACTAAATTTACAAAGATGCTCGGTTCTCAACTAGCCATATTTCAATCTTTTTAGAACCAGCCACTTATCTTGTAACTAAGTATTACGACTCCTTCGGTGTGCCGCGGCGCAATCCTATCAAAGCAACGCCTCTTGAGTGGCCCATCTCTATGCAGTAGAGTGCTACAAAGTTTCACTACTAAGAAGCTGCTTGGGGTTGGAGGGGTAAGGGAGGTGGGTAAATGCCAGCGCTCACATTATCAAAGACCGGCCCACGCCATCGCCATTTCAATTCCCCTCCCAATCCCCTCATGAGTGTTGCCCCAAACGACCGGGAACCGCGGAATAACCTACCCTATGCCACCTCTTACCCTCAGCCTTAGCTTTCTTAGCGCCGGAAAATCTGCGGAATTTATAAAATTTTCATAGTTACAACTTTGGGGCACGAGCATCAAGTTAATGTGCAGTCAAGCCGAGCACCCCCAATCCGCCTAGCTTCTTCTATTTTGCAGTTTAGTTTAAAATACATACTTCACCCCACTCCCACATTCTGTGCTGCCCTTTTTTGGGCAATATCTTTTGCCTGCTCTCTTCTATACAGTAAACTTTTCATTATTATTTTTATATTTTTTTGCCTTTGCTCTCTATTTTTTGCCTGTGTATATTTGGGATGCCGGGGAGGGAGTCGCCTCCTATTACGTTGTTGTTAAGTCGGCGAACGGAGCAGAAAGCAGAGAAACAAACGCCACCTACCATCCCCTTCCCGAAAAACCCCAGTCTCCGCGCTTTTAAGACAAACAGACGCAAACTTTCGCAGCTCTAACAGTTTCTCCTACGCGGGGTGGGCGGTTTGGAGATTGGGCTAGAAGGGATGCAAGGCAAGGACAAGGCCAGACAAAAGAGGGCGAGAACAAAAAGGAAAATCCGAAAAAGAAAATGTTCGCGCGCGAAAAAGGTTAAAAAATATTTTGATAGCTCCGCAAACGTTAGAATAGTGCTTGTAGGAGAAGAGGATTCTCTCTGGGTGTGGGCGTGTGTCCCCTCCACCCAACCACCTACCAGGCAGCATCAGCCTTCGTCTTTGGCTGCGTCTGGCCTTGTTGTTGTTAATCAAATAGGGTGTTGATTGAACGGTTGCGTGGTTGTACCACACCCTACTACTAACAACCAGCGGCAAGCATACAGACCTCGGCTTCCGTTATATTTGTTTTATTCTTTTTCGCCTTGTTTTGCGTTTAGACACAAATTTTACAGCCCTCCCAGGCAAGGGGGAGGAAGAACGGCGAGAGGGTGGCGCGAAGGAGCCAAGCTTGCAAAAGTATTACTTGAGCATATATACAAAAATTGCCAATGTGCGGTAACTGCCAGACGGGAGGGGGCAAACCCCCAGTTTCGCCTCTGCTTGACTGCGCTGTCACTTACTGTGTCTTTGCATCGAGCATATTCTAGTTGAGATTTCCGCCAAATGAAAATGATGTATTCGTATGGAATGTCACGCCAGAGACTGAAGCTGGAAATTAAGATTTGAAGTTGGGAATTTGTGGTACAGAATTCTGATAAAAAGTACAGACATTCAGGGACATAGAGTTTCAAACTCGACCTTAAAAGAACAGACTTTCTTCCTTAAGTTCAAACTAGGTGTATTAGCATAAAAAAGTAACATACGAGACTGGGTTAGCGGACAGGAAAGTTTGGGGGCTATTCTGCAGGATTTTATTATTTGGTTAAGGCCCCGCTTGCTGACTAAGTTAATATTTTTTTATTTATCCGAGGCAGCCGATAAGACGAATACCAAACTCTTGATTCCGTCGTCAGCTTGCCGTAAAAAGAGGGATAACCCTGTAACCTTCACTCCAGATGCAGCCTCAGCCACATATTTAGTTAGATAATACAAGCCTTTTATATCTTTCGCTCGACGGTTTGAAAAATTAATGTTATAAAAATGGATTTACCTTATGTGCTGGACAGCGATCTCTGCTTTATCCTTAACCCTTGGCAGGCTATTCAAATCGCCTGTAAGGATAATGCGAACAAATTGCTTTTTTAATAAATTTAGGCATATTGTCATAAATATTGTTTATTCCAAGGTCAGTAAGGGCTGCATTTAAGTTATTGTCTTAATTCCAAAATGAACGGCATCAGAAACTATCCAAATCAATCCGAGTGAAATATATTGCATACATGCGAGCAAAGTGCCCTCATCCTGCCAACTAATTGCAACTTAAAAAAAAAAAAAACATACACTACTGGCAAAAAGCGAGAAAAATGCCCAAAATGTAGCCAACAAAGCAACACGAATCGAGCGAGTGAAGTCGAGTTAGTCGATTCGATCAGGAAATACCACGTCCAAAATTAGCAAACAAACAGTGTAAGGAAAACCGTAGATGCTTAGCGATTGCAGGGTAAGCAAATTAAATTAAAACAGTAGCAACAAACAACCAATGCAAATTATAGTTAGCATCAGTTTTGGCTGTTGGCCAGGACCTCTAGCCCCCTTTTTTGTCCGCCTCGGCCACACAAACACAAAGTCGTCTTAACGTTCGTTTGCCTGCACTGCGGCAGCCGTGCTACTCATCGCGTATACGTGATACGTGTTTCCCCAATCGCTTGAAATTTATTCGCTTGTTACCACCCCGCTTCACCGTGCCCTTCCCTACTAAACCTATTGTTGTCAAAGTCATAGTTGTTGCCGCTAGCCGCTGTTTTGATTCATATTATGAAAAAGTACAGCTTGCAAAGTTATAGGACTAGGGCGCGGCGGGTTGGCTGCGTATAGTTAACGGCTCAGCGCGAAACTCATTTAGTTTCCCTTCTTCAGCAAGGTGTTTAAGCTTATCAACTGTTCCTTATTTGCTCAAAATTCCTTTAAAAAATAATGGTTGTAATATATTTCGGTTGAATTGATTAATTTTTTGTAATTAGCCAAAATAATATTTTTAATGGCAAGACTATGGCTGAAGCTTGAAGAAGGGTATTGCGCCTGCCAATGGGCAGGTCCGGATATTGTAGCTTTTTTTGTCGACTCCGTACATGGCCAAATTTTAGTTCAGTTATTTTTTTTTCGTAAAAATTATTAGTATTTTTTTCTACTTCACTGCCTTTTATGGACACACTGGTGGATGAGGCGGGCAGGAAAGGGCCGTGGCAGGGGGACCCGTCGGCAGCATTTTAAATATAATTATAATATAATTTGGCGCGGTATTTTTTCGCTTTTCCTTCTCTCTTTCTCGGGTCCACATTATGCGATCCTCCTGAATGAGTGTTTGTGTCTATTTTGTTCCTTATTCGCTGGCTGGGCATGTATGTCGCTTGTCGGGCGAGGAGGGATGAGCGGAGCTAGGTCGCTGCATTGTTAATGCAATTCCTCTTTTGTTGTCGCTTTTTGTTTTTTTCGCTTTTGTATTAAAATAATTATAAATTTTTTTCACTCATTTTGTCTGTTTCGCATTTGTATTTGTTTCTTTGTATTGCTTGTGTTATAGTCCCTCGTTTTCGGGTGTGTGTGTGTGTATGTGTGGACATGTGTGTAAATTGTAGAAAGTCAGTTTTGATAGTTTTTTGCCATTGTTTGAAAGCCGCTGTCATTTCTCATTTTGCATTTTAATGTTGTTGCATCTTCCTGCGGCGCATTTGAGCTTGTAATTTCGTGCAAAGTTTAGCAGGTTGCGGGAAAGCAGGGGAAGAGTAGGGGCACTTTATTGCATTTCCATGTTCGGCGCTTCGAGAGAAGCAAAGTTTTTTAATACAAAATCAAACACGTGAGCGGGTATACCGGATGAAATTGTTATTGACAATGGTATTGAGTCAGTAGCGGTCGAAGTCATTAATTACCTCCCCTGTCCCTGACCAACATAGCTAACTTTTTCCCAGAATCGGTAAAAGCCTCAGTCTTGCAACAGGTGCCCTGACCCAACGAAAATCAAGCCACCTCACACCCTTCTGTGCAGTGCCTAAGCGTGGGGGTCCAAGGACGTTGCTGGGCCACCGCCAAGGAGTTTGTCGAAATGTGAGGAATGTGGGTGAGGCGACACCCTAGCACAGACCGGCAAACAATACGAGCACAAACGCGGACACTCGGAGGACGGGTGGGAAAGGAGAGGAAGGGATAACGGCTACTGCGGCCGGAAGAAGACCTAGACCTGCCATTGAAATTAAAATCCGCACTGTGCTTGCTGACTCTGAAGTGTTTGTCTTTTCCTGGCTCTCGTGGCCGTTGTTTTTACTCCAGCTCTCCGTTGGTGCTTCTGATGCCAGGGACTTTCGACTTCCGCCTTCTCCATCACACCTCCTCCCTCGGCTTCGCCAACACTCCCCAATCTTCAGTCGCGGCCTTGCCTGGCAACCGAGCCGAGTTGAGCTGACTTGACCTTGCAGCAGCAGCTGCCATCTTGGGAGGTAGACGGAGAAGAAGCTGCCCGCCCACCGTCTGCCTACCTGTCTGACTGACAAACACACGCGTACCATCTTTGCCTCTGTGCCAGTGTGTGTGCGGGTGAGCAGTAATAATCCGCATAAAATTACAGAAGCAGAGTCAGGCACGAAGGACTAAGGGGGAGCAGACAGTTCCCAACACACGCACGCTGCTGGGACAACGCAACGATAACGACGACGACGAAAGTAAGGCCAAGGTCGTTTCACACCCACCCGCACACCCACATACCCGCCAATTGACCAAGCAAGCGAAGTCGGCGACGTCCTCGTGTTGGTGTTGTCCTGTCGGCGTGGCTTGTGACTCACTTTCACATCGTCCTGCCCAACAAAAAAAAAAAAACAGAAGATAAAGAAAAAAAAAGCAAGCAACTCCCCATCCTTTGCCTCCCAACTTTTTTCTTCACCACACACTCAGCTAGCCAGCCAGCAAACTCCCCCAGCTAGCCTGCCTATCTGTGTGTCTCTTTCTGTGTGTGTGTCACCTAATCAAGAGCATATGTGAAGTCACGCCGAAGCCCGAAAACCGACACACACATGTCCCCCCTGCCACTTATCGTCTTGCCTTGGCTTCCCCCTCTTTGACTTTCACCATGTCCATGTGTGTGGCAGCTGACTACTTGCTGACTACTACTTCCGGCATCCTGCAACGTGTCCGGGTTTGGGGTCCGCGCAGGCTTTGAATACATTAACACACTCACCCAGATACACAGACAGGCAGACAGAGCGAGAAGGGGGACAGAATAGCAGACAACGTCTTGTGCCGTGTCCTTGACGTCCGGCACCAAAATACACATGCGGACCGTCTCCATTTTTCAACTCCCACTCCAGGCACGCAACACCACGCCCCGTCCCACCTCTTTGTCATTGATGCGCCGGGGGGTATGCAACAAGTTGCCTGGCTCAGCTCGTGCCCAAATCAACAAATTATCCCACATTGCTTGTCCGTCCCGTCCCGTTTCGCCTGTCCCCTTCGTTCCCATTCCGTCCCATCTCCACGTCGACTGCCAGTTGAACTTCGATAATATGGAAATTTTCATCATTTTCTACCCCGAATGAAAAGCGTCGCCCATTTTGCCACAGACAAGTTGTCGCACTACGCACACCACACATGCTAAAAGACAAGCAGACATTGTTGATAGGCAAACAAAACAACAACGGTGGTGGCGGGGAATTTAAGTGTTCAAAAATGGAAATAGAGATGGAAATGAAAATGAAAATGAAAATGAAAAAAGTCGAATTCAAACCGAGTCCGAAACTGATTCATATTCTGAATACCAATCTAACCCGACGATCCACCCGGCCCACATGTGTGTCGTATAGAGCAGTACAACCTTCGACCCCTGCCCTTGTCCTTCCCTTCCCTTCGAGTGAAAGGGAAGCCCGTAACAGGACGTGGAAGGACAGGACAGCACGGGCCAGGACAGGACGGGGCAGGACAACCAGTTAACTAGCTATCACTTACTGGGGCGTCAAATCAAACTGGTTTCTGTGGTCCCTGTCTCTGTCTAGGCCATGTCTCGCTAAGTGTTTCGGCAAAGATTTTCACATGCGTTGCGTTAGGGTTGGGCAATTCCCGAAATGATTCGGATTCTGGTTTTGGCCGGGGTTGCAGGGTCAGGGGTTAAGTGAAGGGTTAAGCTCATTTACATAGCCCACTAGTATTGAGGAGTGCGGATGGCTTGATTTGCATTTGCCGGTAACGGGATATGTAAAGACTGTGGGTCGAGGGTCGGGGGTCAGAGGTCAGCCCACAACAAACACACAACCCCTGATGACGGATAATGGGTTATAAAATGCCGATTATTTTGTCGCTTTCTAATCGCTCACTTTTGGGACGAAAACCGGTGTTGAACCACTCCGTTCTCTGGTTGGCGGGGCAGAAATTGACTTCTCGGCTATGACCAGTCAGGGTTCAAGAATCTCCTCCCCCGCTTCTTTTCCATATGGTTCTTTCCGAACACTACGATCTGTTGATAAGCAGGAAAAGTAGTCCGTGGTAGGATTTCCAATTAGTTCTGAGCTCGTGCAACCAAAATGGCGACCATTGGAGAAATAGGATTTCTCTCGCTTAAAGTCTTCATATCCACTGACCTTCAGGGTTCTGACAGATCCTTTAGAACTGCATGAACTGCATTGCCTTTGCAAAGGCCTTTCCCCACCGCCTTTGCTCTAATGTTAATTAGTAGCGCCTCAAAAAATGTTCCGCTATAATATTTTCCACATACGCCCGGGGATGTGAGGGTAAGAGGGTTTGCGTGGTGGCTGGGGGTTTGCTCAGTTTAAAAGAAAAAGTTTTAAATTAATTATTAGAAAAAGCATCAGCTGCGGTGGGGGCAGGAATGGGGGCGGGGAATGCGATGGTGTACTGCCACATGAGCTCCGCAAAAGCTTCATCAGCGTCAACGGCAACTTGAGGGTTAAGACACACACACCCACATGCCAGTGTGTGTGTGTGTGTGTGTGTGTGTGTGTGTGTGTGTGTGTGTGTGTGTGCGTTACCTCCCTAGGCAATTTCCGCTGCCAAATTGAAAAATTACGCGAGCGCAAAGTTTCGTTGCTGCTGTTTCTGTCGCAGCTTTGAT